TTTTTTTGCAATTACAAATACAACTAAGTTCAGAAGGATCCGTATATTACATACTCAGCTGATATTTAAGCCGCTCAATGCACACATCGATTAACTCCACTTTTTAAAAAATCTTAACTTTAAGTGTCAGAGCCTTTGGTATACTCACAACTTTTTATATTTATAATAACTTTCCTGAATAAAAAAGATTATCACCGTTTAATTGTAAATTTTTTTGGCCATTGAATAATGAGTAATTTATTTCAGAAGCCATTTGGATTGGCTCCACACTGCAATGTAAATCGTTCCAGTATCACTGTATCCGCTCTGTATTTTCATTTTTCTTCTTATTAACTTTATATACCGTTAGAAAGCTATATCTACAATTAGGCATTCTTTATCATAAATTTGAATTCATATTATCAGAGGAATTCTCAAAAACAATACACATTTCATCATCACGTTTCTCAACTTTTCGTTTTACGGAGTTAATCGATGTGTGCACTGAGCGGCTCATTTGTTTAAGTCAACGGATCGGTTAAAAATAGAACGTTTGTTATATGACAGATTGGTCTATTTTCGTATCTATTTCAATTATTTTTAATTGGACTTAAGTTCCCAATGAAAGTAGCATCTCTGCTACGTTTTATTGAGTTATGTAGATTATTCAATCCGTGCTTTTATTAGAATATGCGAATTATTAGTAAATTTTTTTCGAATTCCGTCTAGTGGTGGAACCACCCACTTTTGGATCGAAAAGGATATTTCAGAACATTTTTGATTCCACGGGCACACGAAAATTGTATTCCGCACTTGAAATTATCTGCTTGGTTCGTTACCTCCCATTCATCTCAACATTCCATGAAGTTTCATATCCATACACATGTCATATGTGCCGTTACTTTAAACCAACAGTTGAAATAATTTAATATAGTTTGTGGCATAGCAAAATTGGGTATAAAAAAAATATAATTAATAATATGACTAAGCAGTCATTTTGCAGAATTAAAGTGAAAAACTTTATACAAATTAGTCAAGCATTTAAAAATTTCTAGATGTTTCGATTACAGTGCCATCTATTGGGGTCAGAATTCAATTTAAATCGACCGAACTGCTACAAAGTCAGTAATATGTAGTTTTCCGACGTTTTTTCTTTTTTTTTTGGGTCGATATGCCATTCAAGTATCAGGGGCATTTTTTTGCTTCTCCAATAATTAAACGAATTTTTTGTCTATCTCAGGTGTTCTTCATTAAGCTCTAGAATCAGTAGGAGGTCCTTGCGCCTAGTTAGTGGCAGAATTGCTGACGAACACTAAAAGTGAAATTTATCTTAATATTTCCATTTGAGTCGTGACGCTATTCCACGAACTATTAGGTCACGCTTTAAATTCATATACTTAGACAGAAATATGAATTTAGCTTTTCCCCAAAAGATTAGCTTTCACTGAAATTACGTTTGGGTTAATGCAAAATTAGTAAGAAAGCATACCACCACAACTACCAACTTGCATATATGTATGTGCATGCACAGCTAGCTATGTAGGTAGGTATTAACGTCTAAACTCATTCATATTTTGTTTTCACAAGGGAATGGCCGCAAGCCATTTGCATGATGACCTTTCACGCTATTTGCAATGCAATTTAGCGTTCAGGTAATTTACATAATTAACGGTAAAATAACATGCACACTAAGTTGCGCTGCATAAAATGAAGAGTAAAGGTGGAAAGTTTTTGAGAAACAAATATATATTGACATATTTATATATAAAAAAAAAATATTTGCAAAAAAAAAACAAAACTTTTGGCCTTACAATAAAAACTTTAACCGAAATTTTTTGCTTAAAAGTAAGAATTTTTCCAGCGAACTTCACGTTTACTGGGAAATATGAAAGGCATTTATTTTAAAGACAATAATTTAAGTATGCAAGTATCTGCATTCAATTAAAGTTTTTATACTTTTATGGCAACTTTGATCTGGCGGCAGCGGTAGCCAAGTGGAGTGGTTAGCATTGCGTACTGCCATTCGGAAGGCTCGGGTTCAAATCCCCGTGCGACCAATACCCAAAAGTTATGGGAAATTAATTTAAATAAAAAATAAAGTTAAATTTTCTTATTGCGGTCACCCCTCGGAAGGGAATTTCCACCCCACCGAGTTTATTACGGACAATAAATAAAGGCTCCGCATAAAAAACCCATCAGCCATTCGGAGGCGGCTTATTATAAACTGTAGGTCCCACCATTTGTTGGAAACACATCTAGACGCGAAACCACAAATATGAGAAGGAGCTAGGCCGAATATCACATCTGAAAATGCGTTTCTTAGACAAGCATAAAATAATATTTTTTTTTTGAATAAAGTTTTCAAAACAATTGAGCGCTTCTCAAAACTGTATTGGAAATAATTTATTTGAGAATTAAAAATAAAATTTGTCGCTTCTTTCTTACTTTAATCGGTTTTTGAAATGCCTTGAAAATGCGTCAAAAGACTTTCATTTCACGGGTTTTTCAAATAAACAGAAATTATTAGAACTAAATAAATTAATAATTATGAATGAAAAAATTTAAATATATAAAAAAAATAAGAAATAAACAAATAAAAAAAAGTTGAAATAAGTAAACAAATAATAAAACAAATTAAATTATTATACAAAATATATTAATTATATTTATTTATTAATAATATAAATAAACAAGTAAACCAAATATTGTACATATATCAAAATTTAAATTAATTTCAAAATAAATAAATTAAAAATAAATTAGTATAGATAAATAATCATAAATTAACAAATAATTAAGCAAATTAATTACTTATATTACTAGTACTAAATAAATAATAAAAAAATTGAAATAAATAAACATAAAGAAATCAAATTACTTATTTAATAAAACAAATCAAATAATTAATCAATGAAAAATCTTGGTATGAATGCAAATGAAAACAGAAAATAATTAAATTGAAATAAGTAAGCGTATTACTAATTTAGTTAACTGATTTGAAATAAATAAACAATTATTAATTACCAAATATAAATAAATGAAAATTTCAATAAACATAAGCTCACAAACATTTTAATTAATAAATATGAATAAAAAAATTAATAAATTAATTTACAAACATAATTAAATCAAAATTTAAGTGAATATATTATAATTAAATAATTAAGTATGAATAAAAACCAATAGTAAACAAATCACTAAATTATTTAATGATTCAAAAAATAAATATCTTAATAAATAAATATAAAAATTAATATAAATATATAAAATAAGAAAATAAATAATTGAAAGTAAACACATAAATAAGTCAACAGGTAAATTCATATAAGTACAAAATAAAAAACATAACTAAATAAACTAATAATTATAAATTATTAAAAATTAAATAAAAACATTGTCAAACAATTATAAATAATTAAACTAATTAATTAATGAATATAAATGAAGAAAAAAAATAATAATACATATGTATAAGCAAAAAAATGTCTAAACTAAAATACAAATAACAAATGAATGAAAAAATAAAACTAAATACCATAATTATATAAATAGGTAAATGATTATAGATCAGCAATTAAATTATTATTAAATTCAAGATTGGTATACAAAATTAAATTGAGTAAAATTAAAAAAAAAAATAAATTTGAGCTGAAATAAATAGCTGTAAAAATTACTATGAATTTTAAAATTAATATACAGACATATATATTAAATATTAAATTATTGAAACATATGGAACTATTAAAAGTGAAAATAAGAAAATAATGAAGCACAAAGACGATTGAAATAAATGAATCAACTACAACTTTTTTATTAAAAGCAAATTTTCTTTTAAATTTATTTAAGCCATCGCTCCTACGTAACATGACATAGCTCACCCAGGAGCAGCATTGTGTGCACCCAATCGCATGCAAGCTTGTAGCATATCATTGACATAAAAATGTATTATGTAATGTGAGAATGACAAATAAACTCAGGAAAGAGTCGAGAAAATGCCCCAATTGAATGCAATGAAAGGAATAGCGTACTAAACGCAAATGTCTAAATTGCATGCGGAAATGTAGTTTTCTGCACTAAAATCACCAACCGAGCAGAACAATAAAAGCGCGGGATCACGCCCAACGCAATTTGACCGAGCAAAAAGAAAAATTTTATATAAAATTATACGTCAACGTGTCATTATTCGCTCGAAAAGCAAATAAAAACTCTTCAAAACACAAAACACTTGCTGACTAAAATGGTTCAGAGAAAAGCGCGCTAATAAAGTGAAAATGGCAAATGGTTTCCAACAAAGCTTGGCTAGCTCGTACCGAGTAGGGAATACAGTCTGCATAATAATTTTCACGCAAATAACGGTTTTCGGCGGTAGAAAGTGAGCGCATGAGTTGACGGTGCAATCAACGCTTTTGCTCATATAATTTTGTCAATTGACATTTCATTTGAGTTTTTTTTTGTTTTTGTATTTTTTTGCATTTTTATGTTTTTGCAATTATTTTTATACACTTTCGCTAGAGACGGCTGAGTGAATGGCGTGCTAGTTGGAGTAGTTGTTGCCATTGCATTTCTGGAATAATTTTTTCTTTTGTTTTAGTATTTTATTTTGTTTTTATTTTAAATTTATTTTTTAACAAACACTGCCATGCATTGACCGCAGACACGCTCGCCGAATTCAACTATTTTCGTAGTGCTGGTTTCCAGAGCAGCAAAAAAAAAGAATTACGAAAAAAATTCACCACAAATAAGCATCATAAAACAAAATCATCATTTATATGCGCAAGTACTTCGGCATAATGACAGCGAATTGCTCCAACCATCCGCCAGCCACAGCCCGCTAATGAACTCTCTCAGCGCACTTAATTTTTTTTCTAAGGAGACACTTAAAATGTACCACGAATGAATAGTTTGCGCAACGACATTGCGCTGGCTACTTTATGTGAAGTGCTTTGGGAGTAAAAATTTTGTAACCAATTTGCCTTTTCATAATATAAATAAAACTATTTACAATTTTAAGTGAATTATACCTCTGGTTGTGTTTCTCCATGAACTATGCACACCAGCATAGCTTCGTGTCCTTCGCCAGAGAAAACTATGGGACGTTCAACGGAGATTTCAGGTGGATCTAGAAAGAATTAAGTTAAATTAATTGCGATTAATTATTTTAAGTATGTAAGGGACTTTTTTTTATTAAAAAAAGTGTCCTGATTTTAATTTTAATTTTAATTTTCATTTTAATTTTAATTTTAATTTTAATTTTAATTTTAATTTTAATTTTAATTTTAATTTTAATTTTAATTTTCATTTTCATTTTCATTTTCATTTTCATTTTCATTTTCATTCATATATACATATATACATAAGCAGTCGAAAATATGCGTAAACACACATATAAATATACATTTGTTATAGTTTTATTTGCTCTGTTACTCGAAATATCTCATCGCATGTTGGCCACATACTTCAATAATTTTCTCTTTCTTCCCTCACACTACATTATATTCTACAATATTTATTAAAAGCAATTTTATTTCGCCGTTTGGTTTTGCTCTTACTTACACAGGACATGCAGGACGACTTGGCTGGATGCTGGTTGACCGACGCCATTGTTGGCTGTGCAAATGTAGACACCGCCTTTATGCCGGTCGACATTCTCGATTGACAGGATGTGCGAGTGTAGCTTCTCTTCGCCTGAAGTTGAAACAAGAAAATCGGTTTGGGAAAAATAGTATATGAGAATAAAATAAATTTACTAGAGTGATGGAATAACTGAGTGATTGAATGATAAGGCAAGCTGTTTGTGGAGTAAGCTGGAGTACAGTGAAGCAGAGCAAAGTGGTCCGCAAAAAGGGAGTGCATGACATACTACGAAAATGAATGTTGGTATGGAAGAGTATGTAGCATAGCAGAAAAAATAAACTAAATAAAAATTAAAAAAAAATTAAAAATGAATTAAATAGCGCAGAGAGTAGTGAGTGAAATGTATAAAAATAAAAAAAAATATAAACAATAAAGTTGCGAGAATGTGAGTCCATAAAATTGAATGGCACATTTAATTAAATCAACTGACATCACTGTGACTCATATACAAATATGACAGCTGAAGTGTGCTTTTAGGCGCAGTATTGCTATATAGATCTACATATACACGTATATTTATGTGTATTATTTTGCCGTTTATTTTCTTTGCAAATTTTGTATTGCATGCGCTCTTGCAGCTGTTGCATGAATGTTGATAACTTTTAAAGTGAGAGCTGCTCGAGACTTTACGCCTGCAGATTACGTATAAAAATGTATTTAAGAAGAAGAGCAAAAAATAAAAATAAATAAATACAACGAATAAATAATAAGTAAAATAAAGGAAATAAAAACGAATTCTTTACAAATAAAAAATTAATTTATACAACGAGCAAACAACTCAACAATAAAAAATGGACAAAACTGGAAGCCAACAGAAATCTTACAAAATTTAAAATCACTGAGAAAGCAGCTCACAATGTTGGTAGTGAAAAGTGGATAGTAGGAAAGATAATATGCAAATTATTTATATTTATTTTAAATGTTTTCCTACAACTTATTTTCATTCAAATCTTACCATTGGGCAAAATATTATTTTTACGACTCCAAGTAACATTCGGCGTCGGATTACCGGAGGCCGAGCACTCAATACGCACTGACGAGCCCTTTTTGACTTGCAAATGTCCGCCGGTGCTAATGTGATGAATCCTTGGTGGCACTGTGTAAAGGAATGCCAATCCAATAGTGGCAGCAACAGCAACAACAAACGGTCAAGCGCATATAAAAAGTAGAAGAAGAAGGAAGAAAAATAACATTAGAAATATGCAAAATTGTAAAGTATTAAAATCAAACTAAAAAAGTATACAAGTAAACAGAGCGAAACCAACACAATACATCAGTACGCCATGTCGTATACGCAACATACTTGTTTTACATGTAAATATTTCAATGTACGCAAATGAAATGAATGAATTGCAGGGGGAGGTGAGCAAATGTTGCTACCCAAGGTCCAAATACAAATGATTCGGCATTGGCTTTATTTCTATTTACACTTGGCGTATACCTCTATATATATATATATATATATATATATATAGATATATCATTTACTTTCCGATGTTGTTGTTGCTATTTGAAATTGTTACATTTCGTAGAGTAATACAATATTATTATGGACTATTCTCCCATCGACAGTAATTTAATTCAATGTTTGGGAATTTTCAAGCGCAACTAAAGGTTTTTCTGCTTCGAGTGTATTTTACATTTAAGGCAATATTATTTCCGGCCCACATAAATTGTACGCACACACATACACACACAACCATATACAATGACTCTCATGGTGCACAAGCCACTGCTTGTGTGTACTAAATACACAGTTAACTATCTGCCTGTGTGTTGAAAATTATTTTACAACTGTTTTCAAATTAAGATTTAAGGGAAATGTGAAACCCCTGTACAGCCATTTAGCAATTTCTTCATTCATTTTATGTAAATTACTTCCATTTTCGTAACATTGTAAAAGTGTTATTATTATGTATGAAAATGTATCATATCTGTGAGTCATGAAATACGATTTGTCTAAAAATTTTAGTAATTTTTTTATATTTTTTGGGAACTTTTATATTTGATCAATTTTATTTCATTACATAATAATTATTAATATATAACAACTCAGTGAACTGTACTGACTAATGATGAACCAGGAATTTATCTTACGTTTCTATGAAAGATGTTATTTTAATATTTGTTTAGTAAAAAGTAATCCATTATATTTGCATAGTTAGAACTATTCGATTTATGTCATAACTTTCTGCAATTTCAAAGTTAATACCATTATGTTTATTTCGAAGAAGATCTTGTTCCTATAGGCAAAAAATTTGGGACGATCGCTTTGCACAGGCCAATAATTCAATCAAATCATTCGAAACTGAAGGTAATCACTTCGTACGCGGTTCGAACTATAAGTTGGTAGTGCTTGGTGGTTCTGGTGCATCACTATCGATGTGTGTAGTCTAACGTTATTCTGATGAAACAAAAACCTGCTTCTGTTGACCAAATCTGAGCGCTTCTGGGCGCTTACTTCTTTCGGACACTGCAGGAACAAATTAAGAATTTGGGCGTAGAGACGCAGTTCATAGCAAACGATCCCTTGTCCATTACACCAAATACACAACAAAGTCTTCTAGGCCATCAATCCGTTTTCAATTGCTTTTTCGCCTTTATTGAAGAAAAATTGCAGAATATGGTATAGAGACTGATTAGTAAAGTCAACTTATGGGGACCCTCCCCTGATTTTGGATCAAACAATCGATGTTATTTTTTACAAAAGAAATATAAGTCATATATTTTTAGAGTATGTGTTTAAAGATATTTTGCAATACGATGACTACTTTTCATATTGCAGTTTCTCGAACACACCTGTCTCACGCAAGCACACAAGCAAGGCAAAGTTTCAAACAAATTTGAAAGCGTTTATCTCGAAGCCATATTTTCCGATCTAACTTCAAGCCCCGGGCTCGACCTATCCGTCCGATTTCTTCTATCTAAAAACTGTTTCAAAGTTTATAGTTTTTTGTATGTCTTAAACCTAAGATTAGAGGTCGCCCGTTTCAAACAGACATACGATTTTTGTTAATAGCTTAGTCTCTGGTCCACTACCAGGAGAAAAGAAGAGTCTTCCTGTCAATATTAGCAATAAGCCAGCCAAATACTGAATTTCAAATAAATTGAACCATTACTTTTTTTGAATAAGTCCGCCCCAGGCTCTCTTCCCGGAGAAAAGAAGAGTCTTCCTGTTAATCTAAGTCTAAAATCTAGTAAATCGAACCATAAATAAGGTTCTTTTTCGTATAGGTCATTTCCTGGCCCACTTCCAGGAATATCCCCTTCCCAGGTATCATAGAAACAGTTTGATAAAATTTCAAGTCCATCGGTCGTTTAGTTTTAGAGAACACCAGTTTCAAACGGACATTAGAGTTTTATGAATAAGTCCGTCCCTGGCTTTAATCCCGCAGAGAGTCTTCCTGTTAATCTAGGCAAAAAGCCAGCTATGTACCGAGTTTTAAGTGAATCGAACTACAAATAAGATTTTTTCGAATAGATCAGTTCCTCTTCCCAATTTGAAAAATATATAAAGACCTTCAGCCAGATTTAATGAATATACATACAAAACTTCCTCAATATCGGTCAAGCCGTTTCGGAGGAGTATGTCCTCGTACACTGTGACAGGAGAATTTTTTATATTAGATATCGCTTGTAAACTTTTTCAGACGAGAAATACAAATTTGTTTGAATATTATTTTACGTTACTGTCTACGTTTGAAAGAATTCATTTCAAAGATTGGCGGTGAAAGAAGTTTACACTGAGTGATGTCTGGTTTGAGCAAAAATTTCATCGAGCTACCAAAACGTTGTTAGTGTTGGTTCGTCTCTTTCTTGAAAGCCGTGGGAAACACCAACATAGTTCCAAACGGTTTTCCAATGTCATGTTTTTTTGAAAAATAAATTTACAATAAAAATTTGCATCAGGAATTTTATATCAACTCATTACTAATGGAATACTTCTTTAAACTGAAATATATAATATTATATGTCTTCCATAATATATTACATAATTAATTATTTTATAAACTGAATCAACCCAAAAGGTGAGTCTCGATAAACTTAACCATCTCCTTCACTCACTTTTGTATGAAATTCTTGGTCATCGTAACTGTTGAGAGAGACACCCACACCTATTATCCTATAATCTCTTCAGTTCAGTTACTTTTGCCAACAAAAACTTTAATTCTTACATACTCATAGCTGTACATTCCATCAACCTCACTCTAAACTCAATTTTATTATCTCCGAGTTAATGCAAATTTCCATAATTTTCGTCTACTCACATAACAATGAACTGACAGAGAGTAAGAGAGTGAGAGTGACTGAGAGAGAGAGAGTGAGAGAGTGAGAGAGAGAGAGAGAAGGAAACAACTATTTATTTGCACTTTTTCTTGTGCCTGTCATAAAACTTTGCCATGTCCGGCATCATCTAAGCCTGCGTGTGTGTGTTTGTGGTCTAAGTTTTTACGCAAACTATTTCAATGCTTAAGGGAAAATCGTAGCTTAGATGGTTTAGTGAATATCAAGTGAACAAAAAACGAAAAAAATTATGTAATAAAACTGAAAAGTAAAACCGCATCGACGGAGTGAGAGGTAAACGGGTAAATGGGTCCAGCGTGCAGATTGCCTGAGTCATGCATACGCACAGCGTCTCACACTCACTCGCTGAATGGTGTAGCCGTGTGGCTAACCAAAATGAAGTCTAATATGGAAAATTGAAAATATTTCGAAAAATATCTGTATAATAAATTTGCATGTCGTAAATGTTAGATAAGCATAAATATATAAACATAAAAGCATGCACATTTGCGTGTGTGTGGTATATGAAAAGTGATTTCCTGGTGTTCTCACAAAGTAGATATATATGTATGTATGGAATACTATGCGAGTTTGCAGAAGCTTGACAGCAAATTTTGTTAAGAATATTTAAAATAAAGTAAAATTTTAATATTCAAAATTTTGGAGCAAATTATCAGCTAACATAACTGTATAAGTTTTGCGTAGATACCAAACTCATATAAAGCGGCGTTAAGGCAGCTCCTATTCGTGATGTCGTAGGCGGCTTTAAAATCGATGGAAAGGTGGTAGGTGCCGATCCTTTTTTCACGAGTATTTTCCAAGATTTGGTGCATGGTGAATGTCTGGTCAATGGTTGACTTACCACAGCTAAGAACGTCCCATCAGTTTGTTGACGGTGGGCTACAGTCTTCCACACAATACTACTACCGGGGCTTATAGGCGATTTTATGGAGGCTCCCACGATAATTGGCCCAGACTGCGGTACATCAAAGGGGTGCCTATCATCCGAGGCTTATTGAAAGTTTTGTTGGATTTTGGATTTCATGTTGGGGGTCCCAGACCCTACGTACAGCCGCCTGGGTTTCGCCTTTTCACTTTAGCTCGCCTCCGAACACACGGTTGTTGGCTATCCAGAGACTGTCTAAGACCGGAGGTCATGCGAAAAAAATTGTTTTGAGCCACTGCCAGGTCAATGGCAGTCTAAAACTTTTTTTGTAAATTTATAAACACATAATTGAATTGAATAGAAAAATAAGAAAAAAGGGATATCTTTGGAGTCTTTCTGGAATGGAAAATTCGATTTCGAAAATTTTCACGATGAATACCAATTTGATTTAGGTATTCTTTCGTCGCAGATCTTCCCAAAAGCCTCATATTTGAACAAATCGATTTATGGGTGCCCCAAGATGTATATACTAATCAGATTTCGGAGATTTTCTGTGACCATCCTTCTTAAGGTTTTTTTAAGTGTGGTTTTCAATGAGGTAAAAGCGGTTCTTTTACAGCTATTGTTTGATTTCCACTCCAAAATAAAACTCAGTTACCATCAAGCTCTTCGCACGCTCGATGAATGAGCTAAGCACGAGATAGTCACCGATACCGATTTTCACAAGGAAATTTTGTTCAGCGATCCAGCTCGCTTTTGGTTGAATGGATATGATGATAAAGGAAATTTTCACATTTGGGGTGATAATAAACGACAGGTCATTACTGAGATGGCGTTGTAGCCTAAAAGAGTTATTTTAAGTATGCTCTATGGGCAGAGCGCATTATTGGGCCACATTTCCTTAAAAATGAAGCCGAAAAATGGTT